AGATCTCGAGTTTGCGGTGAGTTATGTTTGGTGTGTTGACATGGAAATTTCACCACTTAAGGCGGATGCTATACATAAACAAGATCTATTTGTTTATCTTAAGACAATCCACTTAACACCATGCTAAGAAATTTAATTACACTCGTAAAACTGAGGGAGAGCCTCTGAATGGGCATAGGGTAAAATATGGACTGGACCATTTTTTGGACCATTTTGAAGGGGGGAGCACACCATTAGTACTGAGGGAGGGGTAGGATGAAGTCTATCAGTACTAAGGGAGGGGTGGGAGGTGGAGTGTTATTACTCGGGGAGGGGTGTGAGACGGACAATTACTACGCAGGGAGGGGTGAGAGGTGGTTGTAATGGTAAACACTACTGGTAAATGGAGCTTTAACTCGATCGCACAAACAATTTTAATTGGTTTTTCGGCTGAGTTTTTGTATGTCAAAATTTTAGCGCTGGGCCGCGGCGTTTCTTCACTGGACTTCTACGTTTTGCCGACGGAAATTATCGGCAAGCAACAGTAGCCACCATAGTTCCCCTTCGCAGGTTTCATAGGTTTTAACGCAAGAACTGATCGACAGAATGAATGAATGAGGTAATTCTCATGGTATATTTTTTCCAACATGGAGAGCTTCCGGCATTAATCCCGCAAAGCGTTACTCTATTATGGAATGCTTACACCAGAAAAGCAGTTCACGAACCCTAGAAATGTTAGAACGCGTATTTAAAAGAATAAGGCCTAATTTGATCCTGATCGTTAAAAATACGTCATTCCTGAATAGGTTCTTCGGTAACGGCTGGTGGTCATGATAACGGCCTCAATAACAAAAACGACAACCACAACCCTCAACAGCTAGCAGGAGAACTCTAGATGAGCGATATTTCATTTCTGTTTTTTCGTTTCCTAAGATTTTAAAGCCCAAAAGAATGATAGGCGTAGGAATATTAGGGCTTTACTGGCGTCGAAAAATACCAGAGGGGAACTAAATTTATTGGGTATGGGGATTGCAAAACACCGATTGTAAAGTCATGAACTTGAAAAAATCACTTTAGGACACTAAAATGGGCAAACGGTGCTGTAATTAATAGTTTGTCGTCTTTCTGTTTAATTTCTTTGTTATTTTTCTTTCCCTGTTGAGTTCTCGCAAGAGAATAGAAATATACATTCTCTTGATTCTCGTCTTTGACAAAATCTACTAATTCCTCTAAAATTGATTGTTGTTTTGGTATTTGAAACCGTCAGAGGACTGGACGCAAGTCACACTAGTGACAGTGCTAACACTTTTTCAAGTCAAGGTTAGTTTTAAGCTCTACGTCATAGCGATTAGCAATGTCTTGAATAAAATCTGTGGGCTCATGCAGCTCATGAAATAAAGTTCCTAGACCGACCTCATAACATCAAAGGAACCACTTGTCACCTCAACGCTGAGCCGCTTAGTGCATAGACGTGTGCAAATGGTTCAAGGCTGCAATCCATTCTAAATGCTTGGTAACGTGGATTCGGCGTTTCCTTATAATATCGAAGGTGGCTGCACAGCTTGGATACTGCAGTTATTAAGGTTTGTTTTGCGCCCCGAACCAAACCATGTTCCATTACCAGACCAAGCACCATAGCCGTTAGAATGTCATGTTAAAGAGACTTGTTTAAGATGTCAGGGTTTGATCGGAAGTGCAAGTTGATCACTAACTATGGATTTATCTTCTCCTTTCTAAATGTTATGTTTGTTCAGTCGTTCAAACCCAAAGGTGAAAACCATTACATTGGACTCGTGGCAACTACACATCACGGGGTCGTATAGTTGTAGCTTTATCTCAGCAGTAAAGCCAAATGTTTCCAGACATATCACCTCTATGAAGACACAAATGAATTGCATCGTAACCACTCAAATAGTCGTATAAATATTAAGAAAAAATATATGTATAACTCCGTGACGTATTTACAATGGCTGCACTATGTTTGTATTATTGGGTACTAAATGTTTACACCCGGCCATATATTGTTCTTGTAGGAATGCTTTTGTTCAAGATAAAACTGCATGTGGTAAAGCGCGTCGCTCGCAGGAGTCTGACTGCAAATAGTCATTGTGTTTTAAGGATCTTTACCATTCAGTAAGCAGTGAAGATGATCCATGACTTACATGACTGACACTCACGAGCTTCGCTTATTTCCTAGAATCGTTTTTCAGGCTTATACATCTAGAGATACTATAGTATTCCAAGTCACAATCGATTATTCATAATGCAAGAAGATTTCAGCACAGATAAACCAAAACAGTTTAGCAGAACAACTTCCGTCCTCCGTGATATTACAAAGATCATGACGTTTCAAAGCCTTCCGGAAAACTAGTAGAATGAGCTGACGAGTGGGTGATCAGATCTATCCGGCAAAAGTGAAGCTAAAATCATATTAAAAATCCCCTGATTTTCCCAAAATGCCAGCGTGTCATTAATCACGAGTAGAATTTTCAATTGACTAGGCGATGTACAAACTGAGTTAGTACGTAGCTTTTACAAATTTCTTAATTTGGGAGATATTTTGAAAATTTAACAATAGTTGCACACTTTATATCTAAAAACGAACTTGTTATTCCCGAGATTCTGGGTTCGCCTGACATAGTTATTAGGTGCTGGTTTTTAAGTATCCAATAGCTCATTAAGTCATTTGAGTCTTACTAAGTGAAAACTTGATGATATTAACAAAATTGTAAATTAAACTGTCAACGAAAGCAGAAGCTTATGAATTCACCGATCTAAAAGGAAGGAAAGTCGACGCTCAATCAGATCCTCTGCTCAACGAAAACTTTTTATGGTACCCAGAGCATGGCTTTTCTTCAAAAACCAAAACTCTGTTGTTAAGCAACTTAGTTATACGGTCCATGTGGTAAATCGTGTTCAAACATTGTTCGAGTGGTGTTTTTACTACACTCGAGAGCTATGCAACAATTGTTTGTTATTCCATATACAAAGCGATAGATGTATCCGTTTCTCTCAAACAAAAGCGGCCACAAATTGGCTGTCGGTTTTAACTGTCAACTCCGAGGCTGCAAATTTCTTAGGTATTCCTTCCAGTTTCCCAAATGATTTATATCTATTCAAAGGTGTTTTGGAAGGAGGTGTTATTTCGTTTTCATGTATCGGCAATGAGCTGGCCTATTCGAGGGCTTACATTTGATCCCACGGTTCTATTCAGCGTCTATTAATATTTGCGCAAGGGCAATGAAAAGTGACATTTATGCCATCAAAACAGACGCTTTTTGCATATTCAATTTTGTTTTTTAACTAGTTGTTTGCGTAGCTTACGGATTCTTTTACCATTCATGCACCCTAGTATTTCTTTTACCCCCTTCAAAGTTTTCTTCATAAATCAGTGATGTCTTGAACAATTGCTTTACTGTTTGCATTGTAGCTTCGGTGCGTTTGAAAAATGGTTGTTTTCGAGAAGCTTTTCAAGAAAAGCAATACAAATGCTGGCCGACTCCTTGTCGCCATGTCGTTTAAGTGATGTCATTCTATTTGCACTTTCTGTAGGAATTCCACGACGCTTTAAAACTCCAAGCTTTTTTAAACCGTCTGACCTGGAAACCGTACTAAATGAGAGTTACCCAGCTCTTTTAAACAATTGTGGTCAATCTTGTTACGTGACAAATCGCTGTTCGATTGTTTGTTGAAATGATTAAATGAGTTTTTGAAGTGCTTTTTGTCGGCGTTTCTTAACGAAAACTTGAGATGACAAGATAAATATTTTAAAAGTCGTCTAGGTCACTTAGTTTGAGAGACCTTCCCAAGTGACCTCAAAGAAATAGTGAGTATCAACCATAACTCATCTGTTTAATATTTTTGCAACATATTCATAGGAAAAAAAATGAAAGAAATATTTTAACTAGAAATTAATGTAGTTATTTAAATTTTTTCTATATTTCATTTTGTGCTAGATGTATTTAAAATTATAACAGAAGAATTATTAGGGACAAGGGTCTTTCTTACCTGCTCATGTTGAAAGTTTGAAAGTCGAGCTTTTAGATACGAAATTTAAGCATTTTTGTTTTCTTCATGATGTAAATTTGAAATCTAAGGCTTCGTTTGAGTCTTCAAAATATATAACTTATTGTTTTTTTTTGGATACCTAACTTTGATCACAATAACCTACTTTGACGCCTGTTTGGCAATTGAAAGGAGTATCTGTCATGATTCTGTTACTACAGAGGAAGGTACGAAACATGCATAATTGACTTGTTCATAACATCTTGGTAAACAGGAAAAATTATTTACAATTGGTCGAGAGGAAAAAATTCGTTCATTGAAGAATTGGAAAATGAAGTATTCAATTAAGAACATTTTGGATTACTCTCTCGAAGATTTTAACTTTCTGCTTAGTTGTCTTGGTTTGTGTGAATGGCCTCACAACCCTACTTTGCTTATTGAAGAAAAATTCGTCTGGTAATTTGAAAGGGGGATTTCAACTCGAAAGTAATGAAGAAAATCTCTCGGCCTAATGGTGGTGCGTGAAAAAATTTAGGTGTTTTTGAAGTCTGTTGAAATATCATCGTCTACAGTTGCGGTACAGATCTATGGCAAAACAATACCCTCCGAGGTTCCATTGAAAACAGGTCGCGTTCATGACGTCAGTCATGTGAAAAACAGAATGCTGATATAAACAATTGACCGGTTTGGCCTTTTATCATAAAATAGTCTTGTGACTCGGGAACACTTTTGTAGCTGTACCGATCTTCCCTTTTTACAGGATATTTTATTTACTTGTACGTGAACACAGTTGAAATTTTTAAATCGGCCATGTCAAATCTTTTAATGTTACATGTTGTTGCCGTTCATACAACAGGCAGTAAATCACTCGTTGAGCTCAGGTAATATCGCGAAGACTACAGACATTATATTAACATTTTAGAAATCTTATTGAAGTTTCCATCTACTTACTAAGGGATAGTCTCTTTTGACTCAAGCTTTACTCACTTGTTTTGGTCTCTGATCGTGTTGAATTATTGAATCTTAGATCTCAGGGTGACCAGTCAACGGAATTACTATCCTTGGAACATCTTAGTGACAAAGGAACACTTGAACCTGACAAACCATCTTCACGCACACGACCTCTTCGTCGTTCGCACACGGACCCCACAGACTTGCTTTGGGTATTTCGTAGACGTGCATCCTTGCTTGCACATAGAGTTCATCAAGACCTTGCTTCATGTGAGAATACGAATGAATACAATGACCCCTATCGAGATGAGAAAGTTGAAGAAAACTGCAAGGCCGTGACTGAGCAAGGATTCAGTAAAGATATTCCTGACAAGGTAAACTTATTAATGACGATGGCAGTTTCACTTACACCTCATTAATTTGGTTTATTTTCATTACAAGTTGGTTAATTTCAACCAAAGCGAATATTTTAGCTTCAAAAGGTTATAATAGGGTCTCACTTTGCACAAGTAGCCTGAATACCCATTGTATTAGACGTAGTACTTAGATCGTTATGGAAATAATTAACCATTCAGGTTGGTATGTAAACAACATCTCAGCGAGATATATTAGCATCATTGAAGACTTTTGAACATAGCTGAGATATAACATGGACACCAAACTTTCGATAAAGATTCGGCTAGATGTACAAAATATAATTCTCTTACACGAAAAGTTGTTTGCTAATCGGCGGTACCAATTTAGTTCATAAATGTTCCATGTAAGCCCTCTTGTATTGACAATTAGGCTTAATAGCAAGTACTTAAGATTGTCTAGTCTGGAACACATTGGCTGATAATCTACATCTTTTTCGCGATTAACCTTCCTTATAAGAGCGAATTTTTAGAGCCACTAAAAAAAAAAAAAGTTATTTGCGCCGGGCCACAGTTTCTCGACGTCGTTCTGCTACGCAATGGTATGATCTCATTACCGCACTTATGACCAAACTGTAAAAATGCATCATTCGTTCTGATGCCACCATTATCTGGAAATTCTGGAAAACTGATGAAAAAAAGGGGCATTACCTCGTAATTAACCAAAGGAATGTTACCTTTATTTTGGTAAAGCTTCAAGGCGCCAGAATGTCAAGCAATTATAGGTTCCTTTGAGTTGAAGGTGGAAGAAACCAAATCTATACAGACAAACTGCTTTGTATTTCTCGTCAACTATTGTAAATTCACAGACAAGAGTTCCTTAGCTACGGACATAAGGCTGATGCGCGTTCTGAACACTATAAATCTTGGGATCTGTCTGACCATAGTTATATGTAGAAGATTTTGTTACTTAAACACTGAGGTTCAATCGCATCTCTTTTTGAAACCGTTCACAGTTCCCAAGATTACCAAAATAGAGCCGCTTTATTGTCATCACTGCCGTACATGTGTATAAGGTGCAGGACTTAGAACCTCACACAATTGTTCCGCTCCGAAAGCACGCGTTTACTTTGCAGAACTTACAAATCAAAACAATTAGAGATCATTGTGGAATGCGAACTGAGATTCTTTGCGGATTAGCTATTGAAATACAAGAAATTCTTTTTGTTTGCAAATTGTGAAAAGTTTCCAGATTAGTGGACACCACTGAGCCAAGAATAAAAGACGTAAGCTCTTAAACGAATGTAATAAAAGATTCTCATTTCACCTTTGTCTTATTTCTATAGAGTTTTAGTTCTTAGTTCTATGTCACAGTGGGGGTCCGTGGATCAGATTCGAGTAACTAAAGAAAACCTTTGTACTCTTTTTAGTTTTTGTTTCTTGGGAGATTTATGGCAGCTGTATTCTGTTGAAATAACTGGTGTTGATATAAGCTTCTTAGGACATTAAGAGACTTAGATGGATAAACCAAGAGCAATTTGCCTTCATAGGATTAACTACCACTTGTAACAGTTTCAAGGGATCGCGCCAAAGTGCTTTGCTTTCGACCAGTCTAGTGTAGGATGATTTTTTACATTCTTCTATATTGGAATAGCTAGTAAAAAATTTGGAAGGTGTTCAGCTTTAAGTCATTGAATAAACAATTGCGAGGAGACATTATTAAAAATGAATTAATTATCGAACTCATCATTTTTTTTGTGACTGTAGAGTGTTCCAAGTCAATAAATCGTTGGATTGCCTTTCAGTCAATAAGGCGGGTGAGAAGATGTCACATTTGACGAATGAGATCACATGTCTCCTACAAAGAATGATCTTATTACCTGGAAGCGTAATCTCGTTATTAGGAAATTATTTAAGCTGTCATGATTATAAGATTACAAACCCTTAAAAGAGAGAAAGGGAAGAGGACAGAGAGAGGTTTTGCTTTGTTTGTTTGTTCATTTTTTTAAAGTTTGTTGATGAGGTGCGGAGCAGAAAGGAAGGTCTCAAGTTGGTAGAGAACTTTCAGCGTTCCGTATTTCTCCTCCAGACTAAGGCCCAGGGACTTACTTAAAATTTTTTACTTTTGGAAATGACTTGAAGGTGCTGATTCCGCTTTAGCTGAAGCTTGAAAAGTTATGAATAAAGTGGCAATAGAACCCGGTTTTCCTTGTATCCCTACTGTTTGAGAAAGCGAAGGACGATGGGCGATGGGGAGGGGGGGGGGAGGGCGCTTATCCGGTTAGTTTGACATCATGACCTTAGGGGTGGGGGCCTTTTTGGGGAAGGGAACACGGTAGTTTGGCTCAGTGCTGAAGGTAACATACAGTAGACCAGCAAACCATAGCAAAGAGACGAAATAAAATCACTGACTAGTTTCATGTAACTTCATGACGAGGAATCCGGCTGATTACGAGCCAGACGAGCTAAGGACAAATCTTTCCTTTCAGTGTTACACTGAAAACCTGCACTTTTCATTCAGAGATTCATTATCTTTAAAAATAAGCGTAATTCCTAAAGTTTTCCAGACTGAGCGAGAGCTCACCAGTCTTTTCGCACCCACGGACGTCTCTTACTCAGTCGATTCGTACCTCGCCAAGAGCTGAATTGTTTCATGCTCATATAATTAAATATCTCTCCATATTTAGTACGTTTAAAGTAAAAAAAAAATCACACCTACCTTGCGCGAGGCACTAATTAGCTATTATTGTTAACAAAGCCAACAGACATTGTATACACAACATTCAATATGCGTTTAAGCGCTTACTCGTTAGGCCTAGGTCTTTCATGAGATCTCCTGGGATTTGATCGTTACTTTATGAATGTTGAGACGGGTTCGAATCGACCTGTGGGTCGGACATAAACCAATATAAACTGGGTATATTTGTATCTGAGCAAGAATTGACTGAGTACGAAACGTTCGTGAGTACGAAACGAGGGGATACCGAGTAGGGAATCTTATCCACTGTCATACTTGCGCCCAACCGATGTCTGTCCCAACCGAGGCATCGGTCGAGCTCCAAGGAATCTTTAATATAGATAAAATTAACCCTCTGCGATTGCTTTAATGACTTAGCTGTTGGATACAATAAGTCACTCATCAGTTTGCCGCTAAACAAACACAACTTACCTATTTTTAATTTTTCAAAGAGCATCCTCTCCACCAAATTAAACCCTATCATCCGAACCAAAATTGTTAATTGAATAGGAGAAAGTTCTTGAATCTGTTCTTGTTTTGGGTGGATGTACGTGACTTTCAGGTTTCACAGCACAACTGAAGTTGTTCTTCCGGTGACAGAAACTCTACGCTGATATGATTGGAGCCTCAGGGCTTAGAGACAATGGCCCGTGACTCCCATCACGTCATCATTAATGGATGTGATGAAAAGGAATATTTTCACTACACTCCCATAATAATTTCGTTCGAGGACGCACAACTCGAAATGTGTGTTCGCAAGTCGCCTATACTTTCATTAGCAAATTTGAATTAATTTTCAAAATTTCTTTCAAAAAGAATGCAGGTGCTTTTTTGCTTTGATTCACAACTAATTAGCGGTCGAGTTTTTAGTATATTTGCATTTAACTTCTTTAGATAAATCATGCAATTTTCAATTCTCTTATAGACACAGTACCCGCGTTCGCAAGATAACCATCCAAAGGAGCCCGTCGTGAACGAAGAAAGGTTAAAAGAATCCAGCAGTGACAGTGAGTCAAGGGACACTGCTTACGAATGGACTATTACGGTGAGCTAACGCAGTTTTAATACCGTAATTTCTGTTTAGATGATTTCAAACAGTCCATCACCACGCCGTCTCATTGATGAAGTGCAGTCGACCCCGACAAGTGCCACCAATCTTTACAAACCCAAGAAGGGCGATGAAAGACAAAACGCGTGAACGATGTTTATGCAACACTGTTTATTATTTAGTCTTCACTTTTCCAAAATAACTGCTCTTAATCATTAAAACAACTCTATCGCGCTAAATTACGAAACAAAGCCGTCATGCACAATGATCATAGATGTAGCCTATGTGACACCTTTCAATGTTACTGAATTCGTCATTATTGACTTACTTTTATTTGAAAGTGGCTAAAAGATAATCCTTAACGTATGTTGACGGAATGATCGAAGTGGGCACGGAAGGCGGCTAGACGAAATGTGTCCAATTTTTGACCAATTATCGAGGCGATAACTAACAACATTGATTGATTTTTTTCAATGAACTGAGAGCAAAATCGTACTAGTCAATTCGCATTTATATCTCTGAAATACACGGAACGCTATCCTCGTCTATTGTGGCGGAAGAAATGACACAGACTCTTAGTGACGTCACGAAAAAACAAAGCGCGTGGGTTGGAAAGCAATGTTGCGCGAAGCATGTACGAGGAAGTCGTCTTGGAATATCCGAGTCTCTTGCAATGGGTGGGTTTCAACCGAGATGTAAAAGCAACAATTCTTGTGCAATCGATAAAACGAGCAACTGAGGAGGTAGAATTTTAATTCGTGATCGACCTTAGGTTGATTAATTAGTATCAGTTATGCGAGAAATGCTTTCAAAAGTGCAGTTATTCAAATGCAGCGACGCGACAATACAAAACAAATAAACAAATGAATACGACTGAAAGAATGTGAACTTATGAAAAAAGCTCACTTACTTGAGGTCCTCAAGTGTTATCAGAGCTTCTCTTTGTTTATGACTTCCTGTAATTAATAGGTGAAACGAGGTCCTGTCGGGAATCGATTTGCAATGCTGAACTCTTGCTGAGAGGAAGTATAGTTGGAGAAAAATTTACCTTTCCGTCTAATTTTACGTGCGAGAATCATCATGTAGCGAAAAAAAAATGTATTTTGGGAAAATAACAAAAACAAGAGGGTATGAATCAAATGATACTAGTCGATGGAAGCAGATGAAACAATCCACGGTACGGCACGTCCTTCCAGTATATTGAGTAAGGTTTCGACCTCCTATTATGACATGATGTGATATCCGAAACGGTATGCCAATCTATTTTTACCTGTTTGAAAGACATATCTCTGTGATTTCATATCTAGTCAGATGCAATTGGTGTTAGCCTTCCAAAGGACGTTCTTTCTGGTTTAACAATCAAAGTCGGCGTGAAACTTAAGATTTGACCCGGCCTGGAACTTACTGATAACATATTTGTTCCTTTTCTTTTCGGAAAGTTGGTCCACTCTGGTGTCGATTGCTAAACAAACTGTGCATCACCCTAAGTAAACTTTGCGTGCTTCATGACGTGTCAGGAGGGCCAATAAAACGCTATCTTGACAGCATATACTCTCTTGGCGAATTCCTTTGTCACCCCTCATGTTTTTTTAGGTCAGTGAGCGATTCATTTAAAACCAAAGAGTGGTGTCATTGTTCGCGTCATTCGAACTTGTTTTCAAAGGAACTTCGACTCGAGTTACTAAAAATGAAACAAAGCGCTTCAGTCCTGGGAGAACGCAAATGTGTTCAATAGTTCAGTGACGGTGTGATTGTTTGTCGCGATTGCCGCTCAATTGGATTAGGCACCTTTCGAATTACAGTATAATTGCTTAGAAGTGTCTACGGTGAATTCAGAGTTTCCTTCCTTGTTACATCTGTGATAATGAGCTCGCTTCGCTGTCGACAAAGCCATCCGAGGCCTCATGTGTCGAGATCTGCATCGGACCCTTCAAAATTGCAGGTAAAAAAAATCTAAGTGGTGATTTTTGTTTACTCTTTTTAAGAGTTCGTCGAGTGGCCTTTTTGTCTTAAGAAGCATTAGAATCGATAAAGAGAACAGAGATGAAAACATTTCTTTGGAAATGAATAGCCTTTGAAGAATTCAGCGAGGCGACAGGAAACCACTGTGTAACGTTATTCTGTTTCGAAGTTGACTCTTTTATACAAGTCAATGATCTGGAGGAGTTAATCTGCGAAAATTATCGAAGAAGAGAGAAAGCGAAATTGAAGACGCAGGTTTTTAAATATCAGGCAATGTGTTCCCCTGTCTCATGCCATTATCTCTGATTTGTAGCCAAATATGAGATAAGATATGGTCCCGCCTATTTAATACGAGTGTTATGAGTGAATAATCTATGGAACTTTGACAAACGTAGATAAGTAAATTGCCTTCTGCATGTTTTTAAAGATAAAAATGTAGGTCAAATACAATAGAACTATAATTTCATCCAGTGCCTCTAACCTTTCTGGTTTTGATTACATAGACAACAGACAGGTATTTAATGGGATCTTACAATCGGCTATTACAGCCAAGCTCTTTCTCTTTTTTCTTTAAGATGAGTGTAACACCTGAAAAAACACTCTCTATGATTGCTCTTAAACAAATATTTCCTGATTTAATTTGTTATTTGTTACTACACTTCATTTTATTCTCTGCATGATGAATTTAAAAAAAATAAATATAATAAATTTTTTTCAGCCAATAAAACATCATGATCCTCTTCCACGGCGCAAGATCTCGGCGCCTGCTTACCGTCCAGGTCGCACTCAGATGGCAATGCCCACGAATCGTAGAGCAAGTGTGGCGGTGGCTCCCCGGCGTATCAATAGAAGAGGAAGTGAGGTTAGTATGGAACTTACTTAGATTTTAAAAACGGGCTAGGGTTTTTTAATTCATTATTTCTTCATCATATTCACTGAGGAAAGATAACCCGGTCTGAACAACTATGGTATGGCCAAATGGTAGAGGGATACGGTCTTGAATTTGACCAAATTAAACGTAGCGATTCTTGGCCTTTGAAGAGCCAAACAAATTAGATTTGTAAAATTGAAGAAACTTATTGATAATCGGACGAGATTAACGTACTATTTCGCTGAAGTTTATTTGTGGTAAAATGAAGAGAACACTTGGCCAGGAGTGTCAAGGAATAATTTTGCTTCAAAGGGCGCTCATTCGGGGGCTGATTCTATTTCAGTAAATACGGTAAACATGAGTGTGTGACCTAAAAAAATTCTGCCAAGGTTGATTGTTTCATCAAGTGAAATACGTAAAAAGATGACCAATTAATGAAAAAAACCTTGATTTTTTTCGTGGTCTCATTGCCTTTTTGATTGCTTTAGTCAACATGAACATTTATTACGGGATTTCGGAGCTAAATGTTTTAACGAATTCGATCTACAGACTGGTCACGTTTCACCAAAAGGGGGCGTATCGGAACTCCCCAAGAAACGTGAACATGTCGAGGGTGTCAAACGGGAGTTTATCATATCCAGATGCGAAATCCTCAAAGTATCAAACTCTGCAAAGTTCGTACTCAGACAGCACAAAATAATGAACTGTACAACTACGTTGCCCAGACACTTACCTGGATGTAGCTGGGCAATTGACATACGTGAGTTGTCGTAGCATTCAGAAAACGTCCGATGAACCACATACTTAGGCATAAATACGAGGGCTGCACTCAAACTGCCGCTCTATAAAAATTATCTTTCGCTTCTGTAACGCAAGCTTTTGCAAACGGCTGAATAATCTATTATTGCTAACGGCAGAGGCATTCTATGTTTACAAGAGAACTCAGTTGAGGGACAGAGGGCACGCGAAAAAGAACAAAACATCTTTTGCAGTTTCATATGACCGTTTGGAGCTTAATCGTATTTCAACAACACAAGAGTGAATTCTAGTTAGTTCGGCTGAGTGTTTTTCTTAAATTGCTGTTCTCTAAATTTAAAATAGTACTACGGACAGGAAATTCCATTTTTTTCCTTTTATTTTTGGCTACTGCTTTTCCTTCAACTCAATGAAATTGTACCTACTTTTTTCACAGTAGGCAGCATCAATCCCCCACTTCCTCTTAAAACTTTGACAATTTCTTCTTCTCGGGTTCTGTCCATAATCAAGTTCCACAAGTCTTTTCTAAACGGGATCTTCTCAATTGATCCCAAAAAAGAAGCACAAGTTTCTTCGCTTTAGTTTCAGCGCCTCCGACTCAAATTACCTCATCCAGCGGAAAAAGGCGCTTTGACGTCAAGCTGGCGGTTTAAGTCTTTCAGCTTTTCACGTACATTGTTTATTATATCTTCTTTTTCGTCTACAAATAATTGCCACTTCAGTTGAGTAAACAGCGACTGCAATTTGCGTTAAACATATTTAAGAGCTCTCTTGGGAGGTGCGTTGTCTTGGTTTTCATTCTTAGGGGATCAAATAAACATAAAAGAAGAATGGACATAAAAATTCGAATTTATGTGTACATGGAAAGGGCTGCTATGATCCTTCACCGATAATCACGTCGTCTGCTATGGCAGAGACAATTCACTTGCCGTTCATCGGCCACTTCACCAGCGACTTAGCGAAATGGCTATTCGAGTTGATAATTTTAAGGGAAGCAATCCTCACAGAAGAACAGGTATAGTGGCGAAATTATTTTACTTGTTCGAATTAACTCGCGCTCAGAATGGCGGGGATAACATTAGACTTCAGTTGTTAAAATAACAGAGCTGAACACAGCTGTTGCAGATTAAGGTCAGTTGGAAGGTTGCTATATCTCACACAAGTTTCTCTCCAGTGCTTGAAGCAGAGATCGTACTATTTATCTTTTTTGCTTAGAGATCTTATCATCTTTCATTTCAACTGAAAAGACCTGGACTTGCACAAGCACCTATATGCTCGTGTTAAGGTTATGAAAAAGACAAATGATTGTTAAGTAGAAAAAATTCGTCTTGTAGTCTCGTTCTACTACAGCCGTGGAAAAAAAACGTCTCTGTTCTACGAAGACTTGCGAACTTGTACTCATAATTTAAAGGTGCTCCATTCTAACACCGTTCTGTTGATTGCTTTGGGAAAATTTGCAGATTAAGCGATCAGACTTTTCCAAAAACTTGCCTTGGCTACCTACGTTTCTCAAGCTTCGCAACAAATTAACAGCCACAGATTTTTTTTGGTCAGTTTCTGTGGCTGGATTCCTTTAATTGTCTTCGTTATCCGCACATAACAAAACTAAGGGGCGAACGTTTAAAGTATCATATTATTTAAAGAAAAAAAATTATTTACAGGAGAAGAGGTGCAAAGCTGTCTCTTGGCACCGAAGCATACTGCAGTTGTAACTAAAAACGTGCTTTCACCTATGAATAAAGTTTAGAAATCTTTGGTGTTATGTAACATTAGTAATTGGTAAAGAGAACTAATCTTACGCTTTTTTATGAATCGCGTTCCAATCATTGTCAAGTGGCCCATGGGACAAAGACTTTTCAAAGTATGGAGTCACTGGTCTAGAGCATCGTGAATTTTCAAGCAGAATAAGATCGAAAAAGTTAAATTTTTTTTAAAATTGTTTGAAAGCTTTGGGAAATTAATTAAATAATTGCTAATCTTTTTTTTTTTTTCGAGCTAAGTCTACAAAATGGCATAGGAAATTATTATGGAGATTAGAGATTAATGCCGTCAGTTTGTTCCTAATCGAGGAAAAAAAGACAGGAATCGATAAAAGAAAAGTACATAAGCAAATGGACAGAAAACCAAATAAAAGGTTAATAAAATAGAAAAAAGGGAAACATTACTTTAGATAGATATTATGAATGCTTCTGAAAATATTTGTTGCAAGAGCTTAAACCACTTAGATAATTGCTAATCTTTTTTTTGCTTTTTTGAGCCAAGTCTACAAAATGGCAAAGAAAGTTATTACGGAGATTAGAGATTAACGCTGTCAGTCTTTTCCTTGTCGGGAAAAAAGGCAGGAATCAAAAAAAAAAAGTACTGAAGCAAACAGACAGAAAGCCAAATAAAAAGATTGATAAAAAGGAAAAAAGGGAAGCATTATGTGAGATAGATATGATGGATGCCTCTGAAAATATTTGTTGCTGGACCTTAAACTACTTAAGTAATGGCTAATCTTTTTTTTGAGTCAAGTCTACAAAATGGCAAAGGAAATTATTGTGGAGATTAGAGATTAATTTGTCGGTTTCTTTTAAGTCGGGAAAAAAGACAGGAATTGAAAAGAAAAGTATACAAGCAAACAAACAGAAAACCAAATGACCAATTTGATAAGAAGGAAAAAGGGACACATTATGTGAGATAGATATGATGAATGCTGCTGAAAATATTTGTAGCAGGATCTAAAACTATTTACTTCCAAGGTCTCGATAACTTTGTTCACATCACTGATAACCTTTATTTCTCTTGAGATGTGTACAATTTTCTTTATTCTCTTTAAACGACCATATAACAGTTGCTGAAATAGTTAGTAAAATTTGCTAACGAACCGATGAGCTTGTGATAAGGTTTTCAACTCTAATTTGTGTGCACGTAAATTCTGTATTGTAATACTGTACTCTATTGTATTACCTTGCACGTGCATAAAAACGTGTATGCAAATTTGCAGTGCCTTTAACATTTCAATATCGACGCAATATTTTGCATTTGAAACTTTTTACAGTGGCCAATTTACTTTATCACCTCGTTGATAATACTAGATTACCCTGTTATACTCTCCCACCGACGCAGCTCTACTATTTCTGTAGAAACTTACTCACTTTAATCAATGTTATGTAATGTATGGTTGTCGATAGCATAATTTAAAGCTAATTAGCTCATAAGCACTTGGTACCTATTTTCATTCAACTCTTTAGTAAGAATTGCACGACACCAATTCCAAGCTATTTCTGTCACGAACAAGTTTATTTTCTTGGTATGACATTTAATACATACTGTAGAAACATATGCAAAGCTCCTAGGCCGATGAGATATTTCTCCTCAAATGACCTTGAGGAGTCTGGGGGCAAATCATGTTTAGTGTTTGGTTACCATTTATTTTCCTTGTTTGTTTTTATTTTACCTTTCTTTCTTTCTTTCTGTCTGTTTCCCACTCAAGCATAATCATAAGCTAATCTGGTAGAAGTGTCACAAGCTCTTCAACAAGTTATATTTAGTAGACTTCTACTTTGAAGCTAACTATTTCGTTTTCATAAGGAACAAATTTCCTGTTTCTAGAAAAAGTTTGCAACAAAAATTTACGATGTCTTTCAGTCCTCACATGACTCTCGCTTAGCAACTTTTTCAACATGGAAAAGTGTATACATTTTCCATGAAAAGTGAGTCATCGCAGCAATCTTCGTTAAGCAACTGTCTCGTTATATTCTTCGTAACTACCGGAAATGGATTTTTTGATCCGCAATTCTAATAGTAGCGGTTGAAATATTTTTGAATTCACAGATATTTATTTCATCGTATTTTTGACAAAGGAAAAAGGCAAATATCACACTAAGAAAAACCTCGCGGGTTGGACCTTTATCATGTTTATGAAAGGTGCATGTCAATACTTAAAATCACGTGTTTTTCATATAATTCTGTAACCCAAAACTTCGAAAGTGTTGAGGTGAATTTAAGTAAAAAATGTTTTTCAGCAAACGCGTCATTCCAGTGATATGTTTTTTACTCGTTGCTGGGGAACCACTTCAGCGACTGCTAAAAGTATAAGCCACTTTATTGTTGACGAATCGTCTTTGTCAAGCGACTTAGAAAACGTCATGCTCGTTAAACTTCAAGTGCCACAAGGGGAAATATTAAAATTCGTCCCAGTGGAGTCATTGGCCGTGGGTAATGAGATGACGACACCGGATTTTTTTTCACAGGAAAGTCTGTTAGATGCGTTAGCTCTTCCTATCGTTTTGTCGTGAAACTCTGTGGTTATCCTGTTGGATACGGAGCGACAAACAGCTCAGAGGCGAACGATTACAAGATTGATAGGAGATTTATTTTGTGGTTGATTCTAACTGAGTATTCATATCGTGAAATTAAATTAAACAACGAGGCAGACAGTGGCTTGTAAAAAAGGACACCGATGTTGGGAATTGAGGACGATTCTTTCATTGACTCGGGATCGGTATGTTATTCGAAAACATGCATCGTTGCCGTATTTTGTACGAATATTACATTATATATTGTAATGAATTATTCTTAGTGTTTCGATCAGAATTGCAATAGGTTTTTTTTTCGCAGTTTCAAACATGTTAAAGACCTAAAACTGTTCATGCATGGTTCGTCATTCACTGCACGCAAAGCATTACTTTTGAAAGGTCACTTTAAAATAAACGAATTAATGGATTTTAAATTTGTAGCAAGAGCTCGCTAACAAAACAGAAATTTCCTTGAATGGGAATTTAATATTGCTCCTTAATTATAGCTAAACAAACTGAATTTAGAATGCAGACTAAATATCGCCCAAAAACCATCAAAACGTGGCGTCATGCAGTGTTCCAACCTCTTCCACAAAATAATTTTCCCACTATGTTAAAACACGAAAGCGTTCTTTTTATTTCTGGGATTTAAAAAGCAATATCATAGTGATGCATTTTATACCCATCCAATACTATGACTACTTCTCCGTTCCGAGAACACCTTACGACGTGGAAAGAAATGTCAATGACGTATCCAAACCAGTCGGAAGACACTTTAGTCTCCCTCATCCAAAACAGCATATGGAGAGCCGAAAAACTCTAGAACATAAATTTATTTGCTAAATCGGCACCCTTAATCCCCACGGTATCAACGAGAGCTTTTTATTCAACAAATTTACTCTCGTTTTCTCGTCACCATATTCCCACCAATAGCATATAATAAACCCAATAGCGTATATAAACCCATTTTCAGTTTCTTCAATTGTTCTGACGAAGGGCTAACGCTCGAAACGTCAGCCTTTAAACTCTTTACGATGGCCTATTTACGTTTTCAACTCAGTTGTTAACACTAAATTATGCTGTTATACTCTCCCATCGACGCAGCACTGCAGTTTCTTTAGAAACTTACCCCCTTTATTCATTTACCTCTCCGTTTGTTTTGCATCTGCTGAATTCACCCATCGTTTTTCATTCCCTATTGTATAAGCATCTTCCGGAATTATTCAGATTGAAAACTTTAAAAATCAAATTTACCGTTGCAGCACCTATCTGGTAAAAATAACCCGCTATTTGAAAATTCAATTTACAAATTGTTCAGGTTTTGCGCTCGTAAATTAAATTTTGGATCACGATGTGGTAGTCTACTTGTAAACGGTTGGGTGGTCACTTAACCCTTTCACAGTAAAACGGCTCGAAGTCATTACTTAATGGTCAAAATATGTTAACAATATCAATCCTTATCTAAGAAACCAAGTGAATCGGGGACAAGATGGACCATTCAAACAAAAGGTATCCATTTCCAGCCTAATGATCGCAATCACTCTGTGAACTGACTTCCGCCAATTACATCCGTTTCTGTTTTGTGATCAGTGTGCCGCGATATACCACGCATCCGTTGTACACGATATACTGAATCACATGGTGACATCATTATTATTCTGTTTCAGGCACCAGCTCTTACCGTCATTGCAAGACGACGAAATTCGCAAGTGGCATATCCAGTGGGATTGAGAAGAAAATCATCAAGAGCTGCCGGCGCAGGTAAGAATGGAGGGTTAAGTCCTCTTTCTGGACATTTTCTTCTGCAAGCCTGCGAGCGTACAGCTATTGTTAAGAAATACAAAAAAAAATTTAGAAGATCAGGCAAAGTTGTTTTGATTTATGTCCCTAAGTTATGAACCACACGTTTTCTGGTTTCAAGGTTATGACAAGTTCTCCCACGAAAGACACTGTGTAACAATTATTGTATTCACTCAATTCAAAATAATCAGTTTGGATTTCTTCGGTTTCTGGATCGAATAACAAACGTGACTTATTTGGCAACTGCAAGAACACAAAATCATTAAACTGATCCTCCTTCTTAAAACATTGCCTTCCGTAGCTAAATATTGATAAATATCCAACAGAAAATGACGGTATATTTTAGAATTGTAAGTAAACATGAACGATATTGATGTACATGAAGGGAAAAACGTTTTCTCGTCGGAAGGAGATCTAAGGAATGTTGGCAACTATTGTTATGGTCTCGTGTGTTACATGTAACTTACTCGAGCACACTCAAGATTACTTTGTGAAATGCGTCTTCGCGCGCGTTATGGTCTCATGGTGTGATTTTGTCAACGTTGACTTCACTACATTTTTTTTTTCCATCGAAGAATGTGAAACCTAAGAACCCTTTCCTATCCAACACTGTGTTTTTTGAGGGTGGCGGTCTATGATTGTTTATCAAAATCCAATCGCAATAGACAGGGAATTACGATAAATATTTCATGACCGCAAATGATTTCTCGCGGCTAGTATCACGAAAATCCGCGAGGAGGCAATTTTAAGCGACGACAACTTGCGTGATCTCGTGTTTTTATTTCACGTGTTGCCGTTGTCATTTAGCACTGTTCTAGATCAGTCATTATTGTTTCATATGTTTTTATTCAGTATGCTACATTCGAGATGTGTTAATTAACACATCGTGGCTTGGGTTAATATCGTCGCTCTCTAGGAAACAAGATTAACTTTCCTTTTAATCTAAATTATTCCGTGAAATTGCTATTGAAATGAATAGAATGAAAAAATATTACTTAAGAAAAATCTTGGAAGTGATATTCGATCGGCTTCAGAATCCATAGGAGAGAAACAATAGATTGTTTTCAGTCAAGTGAAGGTAGACAGATACTCACTTGATTTGCGATATTTTGAAGTTTTATTTGAAATAACTTTTACAACACTCGCCATTTTGTGTACAAGGCGATAATTTGACCCTAATGATGTAGAATAAGTAGATAGGTACAATCATCTGAAGAAAATCACGCAACGTTTGGAACACACGCAGAGTCTTAGAGCCATATTTACTGTTTTTTACTCCACTTTGGTTAACCTTGAACAGGCCGATCTCGATAAGCATGCGCACTAAGAGAGCTCATATATCCAAAGGTCAAGTAGAATCCCATGTTGTCTTCTTTCACAGATAATCATCTTAGTATTCAAGCAAAAGCCAAGCATGAATTGTTAGCCAACCTAGTCCTTCCAGCCTGCGTCGACCAACCTCCAAGAACGAGAGAAAGAAGAAACACTTTTATCTTCCAGGCATCCAGTATGCGAACCAAGAAAGACGGTATGTATGCCTCATGAACTCCATTCTGTGCTAAATGGGTGATGTCGAGAGAAAGGAGCTGTAGAATCACCACGATCGTAGCGTTAGTCAAATGGCTTCTTTCATAATTTCTTGAGATAAGAAGCCACCAAACCTTTGGAGACCTTATTTTAGGAAAATAAGGGTGATGTATAGGCTTTTACTTGCGTCTTCCTCTCTCCAACAGCAAACTTTCTACAACGGCCTGGCTTGACGCCGGCGTGATGTTGAATGCCCGTGAACAGTATTATTACTCAAACAAACGCTGCGCCAATTTGCGCCATCCCCTCACCTGAAACTTAAATTTCCAAGGGCAGAATTTTTTCGCTGTCACAGGTTCATCGTTTTAAAGATGTTCAACTGTTCGTGTAGTAAGCAAAGAGTCCCTGAATAAGTGCAAAGAAACTCGCATTCAAGTGAACACAGATTTGAGAAAAAAAAATTGCTTTTTGCAGTTTATTAGGAAACATCTTAAAATGCGACCAAACGCCACTAGAAGATGAATTAGGAAAAAAAAAACAACTGTGACGAACTAACGTTGCTCTGTAAACTAACTAATTAAACTAATCGTTCCCCGGAGAGGGAAGGAATGCACAAAATCCACCTAATAAATTATTATTTTTTTTTAGCTTACTTATATTGTATGAGTGTATGTCTACATCCGTTTGCCTATATGTCTGTCATTAATTTCCTTCATGATAACTTTTGATTAAATTTGATTGCAACATCTGTTGTAACAGCTAATGATTTAGCTTCAAGGCATATCTCCTACATTGCATTGTTCTAAAAAATTTACGAGGAACTGTTCAAACAAGCACCTCTATTAAAGACTGGTAATATTGCATGTGCATCGCAAACGTCGTTCTAAGAAAAATCTTATGGCAAAGTTGAAGATTCATCAGATTTTAACCACTTAAAGTAACACATGGTAGGAGCTTAAGAAAGCTCGTTAGTATTTTTTCCCACAAAGATTTTGTCCCACACTTAATCATAAGCCGGAAATGTATTTGATTACCTATGTAAACAAATTATTAAACTTTTTGTTCTGTGTTTTTGCTCTGCTTTTTTGTTCGTTTGTTTTCCTCCTTTCTTCTTCATCATCCTTCATTATCATTGTTACTGTTATAATTATTATTTTTATTGGTGTGTTCATTTTTCTATTCATCATGTAAAATAACTGCTACCAAATTAAAAATTTATTCTCAGTAAGTCTCCAGACGATTAATCATTGGTTGGAGACATGACAAAGTTGTTTACGTGTCTGCTTCAAATACCATTCAGCCAACTTGTCTGTGTTTTGTTTTCCAATACAGAAAAGAGATATCAGGTTGCTAAAGAGATCTTAGAGACAGAAAAGAAGTATCTCTCTTGTTTAAGGACCCTTAAAGAGGTAAGATTCGCACTCCATGGTCGTAAATCCTAATGAATAAACTAGTATTTCAAACTTATTAGTCCATTAATAAAACGTCGTCTTTCAATATCTTATATGATTACCTCCTAAAAAGCAAAACCAAACTTATTCACACTTACCTTTTAAACAATTTGAAAAGAAAAATTTTCACCATTTGAATTAAATTGTGCCTGAGATGCATTCCATTCCTTTAATTTTTCCGCAACGAGCGAGTGTGAAGGATTCTTGAATTGCAATATTTTACAGTGCACCTTTTAAAAAGGTCTGCTCACTATACAAATTTGATATTTTACTTCTAGGTATTTGAGGAACCAATGAGAGAAAGCAATTTAATGTCTTCCAAAGAAATTGAGTAAGTGCAGTTACAAATGGGTATTCAAATATATCATTAGCAATGACCATTAGAAGTGTAATAATGTTAAGTACTGATTTGCTACTTGAATGTAGAATACACAGTGGTCATCATTTTCGTAGATGTTTTTGTTCTTGTTTTTGATGGTTATCTTAAGTTATCTTATTCTGTAAACCTTCTCCATTACTTTCTGGCCAATAATTCGTAAAGCACGTTCGTTTATTCCTAAAATGAAGGTTTAGTTATTTTGTTGGGGTCATGAGGGAAAAGCCGCCAGAAATGAAAGAGAGAGATAGCCACTTTGAGTGCTCTAAAAACCCGCACTTCGCAGACTACTACTCTGAGCTCGATGCCAAGTCTATGCAAGTGTAATTCCTTTAAGACCGGCAGCGCACTGATCAGTCTTTGATGCGCTTTACTCACATATACTTGTAAACATGTTTTCAGTGTGCTCTTTCCTGGAGAACTGGTGCATATCCTAACAAGTCACACTCATTTTATGAAAGATTTAGAAGAACGACTTCAAAACTGGAAATTACACGGCATTGTTGGAGACATTTTTACGAAGCTAAGCAGCTCTTATCATGTAAGTTTCACTTCTTAAGCTTTGACAGAAAAGTAAAACTGGCTCACTCTTAACTATGGCTTCTAAACGTCGTACTTGCATTCAGCCTTAACATCATAATGTTCTAAGTAGATTTTTTTCAACGTAGTTCCTTAGCTGTTAGAGCTCTTTCAAGCTGTATTTGTCTGTTTGCTTTTTAACTTTACTGAAAATCAACAATACTCTATTATTCCACAGATTGATGTCTTACGAATCTATTCCAATTACGTTAACAACTTCCCCAAGGCAATAGGCGTAATAAACAAAAGTTCAAGGGGATCACACAAATTTAGGAAATTTTTACAGGTAAATTTCTGGAGTGTTTTCTTTCAGTGTGGTTACCATGACAGTAATGCGTCTAACCCTGTTCCTTTTCTCTTTTAGAGCTGCTCTTTAAACTCGGAATGCGAAGGACTAGATTTACCTGCTTTTCTCCTTACTCCAATTCAAAGACTACCTCGATACGTCCTTCTTCTCAGGGTAAGTCAATAGTGTATCTTAGGAAGGTACAGATATTAAATATTTAAAGAAATTCAAACTTATGTCCCAATAAGAAGTTTTTAAAATCACCAATGACTTTAAGGATTTTCGGAGATGGGACACCGTTCTTGTTATTTTGCATGGTCCTTTCACGCAAATTTTCAAAGTTAAACAAATGCGTCTAAATATCTGTGGTTTTTGCTTTTTCACGAAACCGTTTCTTGAAGTGATTAAATTTTCAGCAGTTTTGCAACAGTTGGCTTTAGTCTAGCTGCAATATCACTTGATTAATACTGATATTCCGAGCATAAATCATCCAAATGGCCCATACCTTCTCTAATGGGAGAAACTGAAAGAAAACAAAACAGAGGAAAAAAAGGTTGAAAATGCTTTGCTTGTTTCCATAGCAACTTTCAAAGTACACAGATGCAGGACATCCTGACAGTTTTCACATTGCAAACGCCTTGGAAACAATGAAACAAATGATCAACATTCTTAACGATTCTATCCAGAGCTCTTGTAAACTGGCAAACAACACGCAGATTAAACGGAGCTTCAAGAGAAAGTAAGTTTGTACTTTTATATCGTTAATAAGGGATGTTGTTCGTAAGTCAGTGAAACGAAACAATCCATGCTGTGTAAATTTACTGATAGATCTATCATGCACTTTGCCACTTTATATAGATGTACATACGCGTTTTCTTCGAAGTAACCTGAGCATATGAAAGTCAAGTGTTTCCTGTCAGTGCATTGCCACTGACCTGAACACCTCATTCACAAATAAAAATAAAATGAATGACTCATTACTCGAATTTCGTTTCAGGTCATTGAGAAAAAAGGGGAAAGAACTTCCAAGGAGCAGGCACAATTCACAAGACCACGATAGGTGTGCATATAATTGAATGCTACCCAAAAATTTCTACAATGCTTCATATATTGACCTTAAATTGCAACTAATATCAATTCTCTTCCGTAATCTTCCGTAAGCTACTGAGACCGTCCATTTTTAATTTGACTCCGCTGAAGACGACTTAAAGTTCTGGATGTATACTTAAAGTTGATCGACCATTTTGAGAGATACTCATATCTCAGTGCTCTTCTTATCCTTAAACAGAATATCTTTGGGAAATAGCAGCGTGTCAACGATATCGATGGTATCCCCTAGGCCACTCACTACTTTTTCCCAAGATACAACAGCTGCGAGAGATACGCAACAAACTGTTGCTTCAGAAGACAAGTGAGTTCCATAAGATTTTTATGATATTCGTATGGATGAAAAAGTGTCATACAGAAAGGAAAGACATGTCATTGAACGGAAAAATTATTAATCAGTTACAGTTACTGAAACATAATGTACAGAACGTTGTAGCTTAGGACATCATATCTTTAGGCCTAAAGGAAGGTTTAAAGTACAAAACCTGTTCACTAATCTTCTTGAGAAAAGAGAGGAAATAATGCAGCGAAAGAAAAGATTATAACAACCGTCCCTTTTTCCTTTTTTAGCAGCAAATCTCCTGCACTGTGTCGTGTTCATAGTGTGTCAGGCGGTGAAACGCCCCACGAGAGAGAGATGTATGAAGAGATGGCCGCCATTGAAGAAGAGGCGATCGAGGATGCAAAAGATATCAAGAATCAAGGGTGAGTTTCTTTCGGGATGAAGAGGGCCTTTTTATAATTCTATGCCATTAAAAATAACTATATTTGTGGTGATTAAGAATTGAAATAGAAGAAATTTCAGAAGAATGGCACTTGTTAACGAGAGGATGATAGTAGTTAGGAGGAAAAAACTCGAAGTCGGGTACGCAGTTAATAAAGGATGAAATTGGTGATAGATGAGAATAGATTAGCATTAAATTTTTCTTTCAGTTTTTCAATATATCTTCACTCACGGGCAATTACGATGTCCAAAGTTAACACTGCTGTTTGTATTCTGGTTTCAGGCAAAATGTTTTTCGAATGGCAGCAGACAGTCTTATAAGGAATTGGCAGCGAAGGTCTAAGAAATGGCGCAGATCGACAGAGGAACCCTTCAAGCGCGAAAGTTTGAGCGAAACTGATAGGACAGCAAAGGAAAACGAAATAAACGAAAGTGGAAATGAACAAAATACGGCTGATGAAGGCAGCTGCAAAAATGAGGATGAAAATGCAAATGTAAGGTCAGATGATAAAGAATTTACAACGAGCCGAACACCACCGTGTAATCCGTGTAGAAAAAATGCCGTTGCATCTCGTGCGAGGCCTCGTCCAGTTTCTCTAGGATACTTGTCTAATTATCAATTAAAAGAACACGACGAAAGAATCAAGGGCAAGGTATTATCGGACCCTAGTTTAGCAAAGGATGATGAATCACTTGAGTGTTCAAGAGATGTGTGGATACCAAGGAGCAATACTCTCTCGCCCAAAAGGAGGCCATCTGAAAATTTTCGAAGGTCAGTTTGCTCTAGTGTGGTGTCAGGAGACTCCTCGCCCTCAACGGGAAGCAAAAAGAGCTTATCGCGAATTTCTCAAGAAAGTCTGGCAGATTCTGGAGTTTCTGAAACGCCCGGGAGTTCACCATCAAACACACTAAACAGCAGAACTCATAAAATCTTAAAAGAGAGAAGGGACAGACTTAGCAGTTCATCGCTCACCAATGTTTCTGGAACAAATGAATCTAAACAAAAACTCTCCCGGCTGAATAGGAGGAGCTGGGGTGACTGGGTGTCCGCCGAGATGGAAAATACACCGGATGAGGTGTCGGAAGAAAGAGATGATCAAGTTGACGATGTCAACATCAAAAATAAACGCAGGTTTAAGGATGTTATGAAGCAATTTTTCTCTTCCAAGAAAAAGTAAGTAGCATGTTGGAATAGTATCTAAATGTGGTTATATGTTTGCTGGTTTTAGTTTAACATATAAAAATGATTGCTTTAGCTTATCGTAGTATTTAATGGGGCAGCAGCTCTCTTGACACAGGATCGAACTGTTATGAAGGGGAGATGAGGTCACATGTTCCAATGCGTTTGAATCTGATGGTCGTTGATGGTCCATTTATACAATTTAGATAAAACCTTTTCATAACTTCAGTCGAACCTTTATTAACCAGTACTGTATTAAGCGGTCGGTTGTGGAAGTCTCACATTTTGTCCTAAAATTACTGTAATTTTTTAACTCTATATTTAGCAGTTACATTTTTGTGACTACAGGTTCGACTTTATATGTCAATTGCTGGTAGAAGTGCTTGAAGACTATTATTATTATTATTATTATTAATATCATTCTTTTTAAATACAGGATCAATCAATTGTACTCTGGAGAAGCTAATGCAAACACGCCATGCTCAACAAAGAGACCCCACAGGTCACAGAGATCATCAGATCCTTGCGCAAGAGTTTCCACAGTTTAACATCAAAAGATGAAAACAGCTGGCTCGGTGTTTGGCACTAGGTTCGACTTGATAATTAATGGATTTCAGTTTACTTTAAGAAACAAACACGACCTCTCAAAAAGACGTCTATTGTGGCAACTTGGACCTTGGATTCATTGTGTTCTCTCTCTCTCAACCAACTATTGCTGATTTATAAAATGAGCCTGAAAGGAAGGAAGGAACACTTTTCTCATATCTAACTTCAGGGATTTTTCCGAGAGACTTAAGAGCTAGTGGCTGTTTTTTTAATTTTATTTTACATACATTCCAACATTTAAGTACATCCACGAACAAAGGTTATCAATATTATTATTAATATTATTATTACTAATGTTATCGTTTTGACTATTAATATTAATATTAATTATTATTATTTATATCATTATCTTTGCTGAGAGTGTTTTAAAATCGATGTGAATTATTGGTTAGCTTCTAAAATAATTTATTCTTATTCAAATATCTTATTTGATGCAGAGGTGTTCGATCATAGCCAGTTAAAAAGCAAAGCAACATTCAATGTAAAGCAACTCGCTTTCATTAGCATGTTCTCTTTATTGTTTGTTGTAAAAAGAAAAATATCGTTAACTCTCCACTGTAAATAGATTAGAAGAACAAATACAATCTAATCTGAAAGCCAAGACAATGTTTCATAGGTTGACTAACATCTTTCACTTAGATCTCGAAGGGTTCCTTTTATTCTTTATTTACTTAAGGAATGGAGGGGTTGGGGAGGAGCTACTCAAAGCCTTTGCCTAGTCTTGCCTTTTTTCTGTTTTTTTGTTTGTTTTTCGTTCGTTTATTTTTTTGCATTATTTGAGTTGCTTATGTTTGTTGTTTTAACTTTTTCTTCGGATGTGGAATGTCTGCCTGATAATCCTTTTTTTCGTGATTGTTCTTCTTTTTCGGTTTTAAGTCTTTGCTTGCTTTCTTATTTTTTTGCTTTGTTTTGCTCTTGTTTTTGTTCTTGTTTTTTTTCATTCCATTTACTGAGGGGTTGATACTGGAACCCTTCGATTTCCAAGCAATCGAAGTCAAACTTGCGAGCGAAGGAGACAAAATTTGTGTCTTAAGAATTTAATGCAGATTACTTCGTATTTCTTGCCCTCCATTCGCATGAACCATTAGGAGGTATGTGCCTCTAGCTGGCATCACTAAGTGCTATAAAATGCCAATGGAGTCTCATATTGCGCTTTCTTTGAACGAGTTTTGTCGCTCTTGATTGGCCCAAACGGTTTCTCAGGTATACTCGGCATTCTTAAAAGAACGATTGAAAATAAATGAAAAAAATGTAGCCGTATGGAAAACAGAATTACACCAAAATCAGAAACTGCAAGACAAGCAATATCAAATATACTCGGCTGCAATTCGTTGCATTTGTTTCAGATTAGGGCAATTTAGGATTATCAACTGAGTCGGATTACGTAAATTAGCAACCGTAAAGAACTTCAAAGCTAACGTTCCCAGCGTTAGCCCTTCGTCAGAGCGACTGATGAAGGGCTAACTCTCGAAACGCCAGCTTTAAAACTCTATAGTGGCCAGTTTACGTTACCAACTCAGCTGACAATAAAAAGTTACCGTATTATACTCTCCCACCGACGCAGCACCACAGTTTCCCTAGAAGCTTACTCCCTTGCTGTCCATTGTTGTTGTTTTGTATGAAAGCCGCTAACGAGAGCCTACCAACACCCCAAAATAGATGCCACGTTTCAGACTATCCCCATGATAATTTGACTGCTATGAAATAATAAAAAATAAATAAATAAAAAAAGGATTCGAACCCACGCGTGCAGAGCTCATTGGATTAACAGTCCAAGGCCTTAACCACTCGGCCACCTCATCCTCGCTATGAGGTGGCCGAGTGACCGAGTGAGACACAAACGAGCAGGAAATGACAGTTGGAAAGACAGGTGCGCAAATCTTAATACGTAGGATCGTGTAAAGCTAAGGAAAGTAAAAAAAGGTCAGTCTAATAAAAATCGATTTATACTCTTCAAGGCATGACATAAGGCCTTCTCCTTTCGGCAGGGGTGTATCCCTGGTGCTATCCCTGGGAAAGAAATCTGAACCATGATACCGATACCAAAATAGCCGAAACTAAAAGTTACATTATAACTTATCAGCAATAAAATTAAAATGAAACATCAGATGTAACGAACATTTGATGGAGATTCGATAAACATATTGATATGGAATCCAGCAAACAGTCACACTTGGATTAATTAATCCGTGCGCAGAGGCGCGCCGTTTCTGGAATCGTAGCATTAGTAAAAGAAAGCCGTGTTATCGTAAATAAAATAACCCTTATAACGAGCGCCCAGTTTGGTCAAAAAAGATCTATCGTCATTGCACCGGTAGTCCAACAGAAAATTTTATTTTACTTTACAATTGCAAAAGCAGAAGACTGCACTTTCTACTAAGTTTACCGGCGTAATAGCACACGCGGGGTGTTGGAAGAACACGAGAAAAGTTTGTAAATCACTCGCCGCCGGCTCAAACTTCCCTCTTGGATTATTATCAATAAATCGATAGAAATTGCAGTCTATCATTTAAATGAAAGGAGTCTGTCTGGTGTACATTCAGTTTGTAGATAATCCCGAACAAATAATAAATTTCTTCGTTCTCCACTTTAATGCTCGCTGGTCTTAAAAATTATAGATAATTGTAGATTTAAACCCAGCTGGAACCCATAAATTAGTTAAAATAGTCCCTTCCATATCAATCTTCTTGCAATTTTTATAAGTCGAAATTCAATTTAACCTTCAAAGGCTCGTTTGTCATGGGTTTACCATTCAAAACATTTGAAATATTCTTTGTAAAGATTTTAATCTCATTGTGACTTTTTATTGAACTGAGGTAATCGTCTTAAGTCCCCTCTTTACAGGATAATCGGATTTAGTTTTTTTAATCTTATTTTAATTAATTTTGCTTCAATGTATCTGAAATTGTCCCAGGCTGAAACTATCTCCAGTTACCCCTGCGGACAATAAGCGAGGGTTGATTATCGGGCACCAGAGTTTAGTAAAGGGACCATTAATAGTTTACGATGATCCAAATTAACCTTGTTTTTGTCTTCATCGTTTTAATTTCTGTTGTTTGTTTGTTTGTTTCAAAGTCGGTTAACAAATAGATGAAAAGGAAAATGAATTTTTTTCAATAAATACTTGTCTGAAATGATATATTAAAAGAAATAAAAGAATAACAACGACGACATTTAAATTCACTGAGAATCTAAGATAGCAAGATTTTCTTACCATTTACTCACTCCGTTAGTCATTAATCCCTCCCTACTCATTTCATTCATTCATTTCTCTTTTTTTTATTCAATAATTTACATATTTATTCAATTTTTGTCTTTGAGGTAATTTGGATCTGGTGTTATATCTGTCGCATATGCGTATACACAAACGGCTGTTGATAAGCTAAGTGTAAGAAGCTTGCTTTTTATAATAATAATAATTATAATACTAATACTAATATTAACACTAATACAAATACTAATACTAGTGCTAGTGCTAGTACTGATACTAATACTACGTCTAATATAACTACTATTATTACTACTAATAATAGTGATCATAATAATGACAACTGTAGCTGTATTTCAGTGTCTAAGGGATCTAGCACCAGCGGAAGACAGGTGCCAATTGAAGACCTCTCGTATTATACTCTTAGCAACCAAAAATTCAATCAAATTACACTAAGGAGTTGCATGTTACTAAGCTAAATCTATGCGCAATTAAAATAATATATGCTAACGTTCTTAAAGTTTAATTTTTAAAAGCAAGAAATAATAGTTAATTACAATTAACTGAGAAAATGTAAATATAAGGCATACATACAAAGCAATAGATCTATGTTCAAAATCTTACTTTGAGTTAACCTTGGGCGTTTACGTAAAGGCCATGCAGAGGGCTAAGTGCTATTTCTTCTTCCCGACACATATATTTTGCCTTCTCATTCCAAACTCCATAAACCGCAAATGATGTAAAGAGAAGTTAGAGCTCCTGACGACAATATTGGTATGACGCAAATCAACCACAAGGTTCACCAGCAGAATTGCTTTCCCTAACAGTCATAGAACGGAAATGATACATTGACGAGTGAGAGCTCATGAACGCAACATTTGTATGACGCATACCCAACCACAAAGGTCACCTGTTGAATTTGGAAAAGGAAATGAAAAAACGAGGGGTCAGAGTTCTTGGTCACAACATTGCCGGGTATGACGCACAACCAGCCACAAAGGTCACCGGTAGAAGTATTTTTCCGAGCTAATGAGGGAAATCAGGCCTCTTCATAGCAGCCGCATAAAGGGAGTAAGTTTTTAGAGAAACTGTGGTGCTGAGTCGGTAGGAGAGAATAACTGGGTAATTTAGTATTATCAGCTGAGTTGATAACGTAAATTGGCCACCATAAAGAGTTTCAAAGT